ACTTGTGTCGTTAAAGTTTCGTTGGAACGAAGTTACGGAAAAAAAATCAATTAACAAACGGAGACGTAACATATGTAACATTCACTTGAAGAAAGATAATTTCTAGGTGATAATGAACTTGTAAATTTTTGTTTTAGTATAAGATTAATTTTAATTTTGGGTGGTAAGTGATAAAGTGTTCTAGTTAAGTGTTTGTACAGGGAACCACATCTTTCTTTGCAATATTAAAAACCAAAGTCCCTCAGCAAATCAGCGGTAAGTTTAAGGACTTACAGTGTTAAAATTTACAGTTCGATTCTCCGTGATTGACTGAGCGCAGAGAACCAATTGTGTAACTAACAACCAAATTATCCTGATACTTAACACTGATAATTTGATAGTATGTCATAAAATATATGCTGTTGACTGTTTGACAGTGGGCGGTATGTCATTAAGTATAAACTGTCGACTGTTTGATAGTGGGCGGTATGTCATTAAGTATAAGCTGTCGACTGTTTAGTAGTGGGTGGTATGTCATTAAATATAAACTGTCGAATGTTTGATAGGGGGCAATGTGTCATTCAGTATAGGCTATCGTCTGTTTGATATTTGGCGGTATGTCATTAAGGATAAACAGTCGACTGTTTGATAGTGGGTGGTATGCCATTAAGTATAGGCTGTCGACTGTTTGATAGTGGAACGGTATGTCATTCAGTATAGGCTGTCGACTGTTTGATAGTGGGCGGTATGTCATTAAGTATAAGCTGTCGACTGTTTAGTAGTGGGTGGTATGTCATTAAATATAAACTGTCGAATGTTTGATAGGGGGCAATGTGTCATTCAGTATAGGCTATCGTCTGTTTGATAGTTGGCGGTATGTCATTAAGGATAAACAGTCGACTGTTTGATAGTGGGTGGTATGTCATTAAGTATAGGCTGTCGACTGTTTGATAGTGGAACGGTATGTCATTCAGTATAGGCTGTCGTCTGTTTAATAGTGGGCAATATGTCATTCAGTATAGGCTGCCAGCTGTTTGATAGTGGATGGTATGTCATTAAATATAAACTATCGACTGTTTGAAAGTGGGCAGTATGTCTATAATTATAAACTGTCGACTGTTTGATAGTGGACGGTATGCCATTCAGTATAGAGTGTTATCTGTTTGATAGTGGACGATATGTCATTAAGTATAGGCTGTTGAATGTTTGATAGTGGGAGGTATCTCATTCAGTATAGGGTGTCATCTGTTTGATAGTGGACTGTATGTCATTAAGTATAGGCTGTCGACTGTTTGATAGTGGGCAGTATGTCATTCAGTATAGGCTGTCGTCTGTTTGATAGTTGGCGGTATGTTATTAAGTATAGGCTGTCGACTGTTTGATAGTGGGCGGTATGTCATTAAGTATAAACTGTCGACTGTTTGATAGTGTACGGTATGCCATTAAGTATAGGCTGTAGAATGTTTGATAGTGGGTGGTATGTCATTCAGTATAGGCTGTTGTCTGCTTGATAGTGGGTTGTATGTAATTAAGTATAGGCTGTCGACTGTTTGATAGTGGGTGGTATGTCATTCAGTATATGCTGTCGTCTGTTTGATAGTGGGTGGTATGTCATTAAGTATAGGCATTCGACTGTTTGATAGTGGATGGTATGTCATTGAATATAAACTGTCAACTGTTCGATAGTGGACAGTATGTCATTAAGTATAAACTGTCGACTGTCTGATAGTGGGTCGTATGTCATTCAGTATAGGCTGTCGTCTGCTTTATAGTGCACGGTAATTCAGTATATACTGTCGTCTGTTTGATAGTGGGTGGTATGTCATTGAGTATAGTCTGTCGACTGTTTGATAGTGGACGGTATGTCATTAAGTATAGGCTGTCGACTGTTTGATAGTGGGTACTATGTCATTAAGCATAGGCTGTCGACTGTTTGATAGTGGACGGTATGTCATTCAGTATAGGCTGTCGTCTGTTTAATAGTGGGCAGTATGTCATTCAGCACAGGCTGCCATCTGTGTGATAGTGAGCAGTATGTGATTAAGTAAAGGCTGTTGACTGTTTGATAG